TCTTTTGGAAGTGAGTTTTGGTCCATAAAAATCTTTAATTTCAACGCAAACTGGCAAAAGATTTTACATTCCTGTCTTTTTTTTTTCCTTCTGCCTTTTTGAGTGTGAATTAACATTTTGAAGGAATATTTATGGCAATGCATGGCCAAGTATGTATCTGATATGTTAACTTTTGAATTCTTTCTTATAAATGGTGGATGCTTGAGTTTTAGGCATGAGACCCTGCCTTGATTAAAGCATAAACATTTCAAAATATTTACTTATTTATTTTTTTTGGGTGAATTAAGTGTTCATAAAATTTCTGAAACACTAAAATGCTACTGTAATCATTTAAAAATGAGGTGTTTTATATTTATAAATTGTCTTCTTTTATATTTTTTCATAATAAGAGTTTGTTCCAATGAAATTGTGTCAGAATATTAAAATTTGTATCAGTTTTCTCTTGAAAATTAACTTCTCTTTTCTGATTCCCCCCCCACGAAAATCGTCTGGCTTTTTGCTTTTACAGTGTTGGTAGGGATATTTTTTCTTTCAGATTTTAGACCTTTTACCTCGGTCTCAAACCAAGAAGGATTATTATTTTGAATGTAAAATTTATAGGCGTACAGTTTCCAGAACAGAGTGATGAAATGGAAGTTGTATTCATGGTATTAAGACATAATGGATATGTAAGAAATTTATGATAAATTTCTCATATTTTGGAGAATTTTTGGAAGAATAGTAAAAGTAAAATTAGCTGAATTTTTGGTAAAAATATATTTATGGGTGCCTCTTCGCGAAAATTGGCAATTTTTGGTGGCACATGGACTCTGAGTTTGCAATTCTTTGACCTTTTTACTTTTCCTTTCCCGCTACATGAAGCCAAAATAACAAGTCGAGGAATTGCCCAAACTCGGTATCTATGTTCATATCGACCTATTTTCATCTTAAAAAAACTTGGAGCATTCCACAAACTTGGCATAGTGCATTCCCTTGACTTTGTCCATGTATATTTTCACTTAAAAAGTCAAAGGAGCAGCCAACAAAAAATATATATAATCTCAATAAACTATGTTTTAAATCAAACAATCAAATAACGTGCAAAAGGAAATTCATCTTAGCACTATACAAAGGAAATAAATATCCACTTACCTTATTTAGAAATTTGCCTATCTTCAGTCAAACAAAATTCTTTAACAGCATCAAAAAACTTCTTAAAATTATCGGAACTAGAATGCGTATACTGGCGTCACCACATAAATTCACAAAGATAAAAGTAAAAAATATCATCTGTAGTGTCAGTATCCTCCGATGTTTGACCGTACATATTTCCTTCCTACAAACAGGACACTTACTACACATAAGTTAATTAATGCTCTTTTCCCCTTTCATTCCAAATTGCACAGAAACTTCAAATTAAGCTTACCACATTCAGCCATTTTACCACCTAAACCGCAAAACAAGCAACGAACTTCCTAACCAGCACAAACCACAAGCCCTTACAAATATTTTCCCATCATTCAAAATTCATCGCAATCATGCAACCAATTACATCATAATAGGATTTCCATAACATCCAACTACTTGGGTTACTATAAATGAAACAACAACTTGGCAACAAATGAAATAACTTTGCGATAATACAAGGAGCACCCTTAAATCTACTCTAACCGAATTTTCTCCTCTTGATCCCAGAAGTCTCTCTCGTAACATGTTTATCTTTCCTTTATTTTATTATCTTTCCACTAGATACAAGCATTGAAGAAATCAAAGAAAGCAAATAATTTGAAAACTATGCCAATTTATTAAATGTTCATCATGTATATCTCAGTATACCATACATACCTCAATGCCTGCACTGAATTTTAAAAATTTCGTCCTAAATTATGTTGTTTGGTGCTTCACTAAATTCTAAAAATTCTACCACACTGGCTCTGATACCTGCCTTGACCTTGCATCATTTCATATTTATTTTTGGGACTCATTTTATTAAAGAAATATAATTAGCAGCTTCTTGTAGTAACTCTAGAATAACAGAAATCTTTAATTAGATTTGAAAATTCTAAAATGAAGAGGAATCCATTGAAAAGAAAATTGATTTTAATGAAGAGAAAGAAAATTTTTCTTCAAAGGTACATTGTTGAAACATTGACAAATTAGTTGATGAAGTAGAGACTAGTGGGAACAAACTAAAAATGCTAGAGCAAAGGAAAATGTAAAGATATTAAAGAGAAGGAAATTGATGTAAATTAGCTAAAATATCTGGAAATATTTCAAATTTAAAAAGAGCCATTACCATTTTGTTATTTTTTCTTTTAATGTATAGTTATACTAGTATTTTAGAACTAGAATCATAAATTATAACTGCTGTAAAATGTTTTTAGTGCTTTTTAATGAATATTTTTTTAGACATTAAAAAACAATTGCAGTGGTAACCATGTAAATCTATTATGACTAAGTGTAGCTAAACTACATAATTTAATTATTTGTATCTAACTGCTTCTTAGATAATTCCTTAGAAGTTATCTCTACATGTTAAAATTAGTTATCTTATTCATTGATCCTTAATGTGGATGTAAGAAAGATACAACACAAAAATCTAAAAACTTGCGTAAAATATTATTCCTTACAACTAATGAAACTTGAAATAATACAAAACAACCTATCACATCTGGTGCTTCGGTGACTTATTGGAACTGTGTATTGAATGCTGTATATTAGCTGGGTTACAACTCCAGCAAATCAGCCTGAAGCTATGACACTAACTGGATCAGACAAAGTGTGGTTAACTTTAAACACTTAACGACCATACAAACATCAGACATGCATGTCTGTTCTGATCAGCGACTGCTTCTAAGCAAGCAGCTGCAGTGGCAACACTGTTATGAGTAACGCTGATTATTATTTTACTTCGCAATTTAACTTATGCTACTTGACATAAAATTTGCGTAAATCTGTGGACTGAGAGGGTATGTGACAAAATAAGGCATAAAAGAAAGAATCAGTGTAAAGCTAACTAATAAGGTTCTTATTTAACACAATAAAGTCTCCCACATTAATAGTAGTAATACTGTAAGTGTTTAGAAGCTGCTAATATGATAGTGCCAAGAGATTTAATAACTTATTTTCACTGCCTTTTACAAAACAATATAGCTGTATGTTGGTGTTCTCAAACTGGAATTGCACGCAGACCGCATGAACAATCTCAAAGCAGTTGATGGGCTAGAAATATTTTTTTAATGAAAAGATATTTTTAACAAATTTGTTAAATAAAAAAAAAAAAAAATACAGATTTGTCAAAACATCCATAAACAGTAATAATAATTACACCAAGAAAAAAAAAATTGTACTATATTTTCTGTCTGAAGGACTAGTATCTAAAGGTCGGTATCTGCAAGAAATTTCTATTGGTTATTCTTGTAATTCAAACATATTGACACCTAAATATTAAATTTTCAAACTGACATTTATTCAGATAATTTGAATATAGTGAATTAACATTAAATAACTTAAAACTAAAATAAAATACATTACAAAAACTTCTTCAAAGGCATAAAACTTGGAAATAACAACCTATTCTGTTTCTTTTATTTATTATGTTTTTCTTTGATACATGCAGAAAAAAATCATATTTCTATTTAAATAATTATAAACTTTATCTTTTATTACAACTCTCAGCTACAACATCTCATGACATTTTGATCTTGATAAAATTTGGAACTTCAGAGAAAAATTACCAGAAAATAACATTAGTATTTACATAAATTATAAATACTAATTGGCAGTCTTGATTTTATTCCAGGATTCATCAACTTTTGATTACTGAGGAGAAAAAACTGTTCACATGTAAATCTACTCCCAAACAAAGCAATTATTAACTGATGTGAATTTGTTAAGAGTATATTTATCTTTTGATGAGTACAAATAAACATTAATCAAATTTATTCTTTGGATAAGATTTATATCAAAATGTAAACTAATTAGCTCCATTTGTAGGTTTCTTGGGGTATTATACACATTCAGTTTTGGTATTGAAAATAATGCAAAATTGAACTCTAAATCAGCGGTTCTCAACTTTTTGATTAATGCATACCATCTAAACAAAAATTGAAAACTTTTAGTACCACCACTACAAAGTAGTACTACCACCACTCTAGAACAAAGCTCAGATCACATAAATTTACAAGTGTTGGAGAAAAAACTCAATCAGGATGTTGGGGTTTTAATTCTTGAATTTAATAGTTAAAAATATCTTGCTTCTTTACATACCATCTATTCTTCTCTTGTGTACCACCAGTTGATAATCCCTGCTCTAAATCATTAAAATTGTGAACTTCATCAAATTTGCATAATAATAATGCTAATTAATTTATGGGAAATATATTCACAGGCTATGTAAAATTGTTTTGGGGACCACATATGCCTCACAGACCACCAAGTATGAGGTTACTGTGGTATAAGAAGTCTTATTTTATCATTTTCACTAGTCTTTTGCAGCTTAAATTAAAATATTAGAAACTTATTTTCAGAGGCACAGAAAAAAATTAATATGTTTGGATGCAATGCATTTTATATTTTTTAATTAATAGTGCAGTATATAATGTATTGTAATATATAGAATACTTTCTTATTATGTATTTAATTAATTTACTTATTTATTAATTTCTTCTTATTTATTTCATGTTAGAAATGTTGTATGTACTTGCATAAATAATAATTAAACTTAACCATATTTATATTAGTCCATGAATATCATATTTTACTTAATATTTACTATTGTCATGGTTTCACATATTCAATGTGAAACATTGGAACATATTAATTATAAATACTGAGGTAATACTGTAATGCAATTGGGTGCTTTTCTACTTGTAAGTAATATAAATTCCTTTTATAACTAGTAGTAGTAATATTGTGGCATTCAAACTTATCACATATAATGATTACATGTAAATGGAACATGTAAAGCTGATTTTATTGTATGTAAACATTTTTAAAATGTGAGAGTAATTTACCTGAAGGTTTAATTGCTTTAATTTTAGATTCTGAGTTGCTATGTGATTATAACATTGTAGAAGGAAATAAACTGCACTTGTTTATCCGAGAAGATGCTTCAAACACAACTCAACAGCCACCTGCAGATTTTTATGAACAGTTGCAGAAATTTTTAGAAAAACATTTTGCTCCTCAGGACGTTGAAAAAGTTTTAGAAGAATTCCGTAAGGTGAGTTGCTTTCATTTGCTTATTTACTGTATGTGAAATGGCATTTTTATCATTTATAATATTCAGGAATTGCTAAATTAGATTTATTATTTTCTAATATAATGAGACTTTTATTTTATGTTCTAATCAGATATTAAATGACTAAGAGTAGTTTTCACCTATAAGAAATTATATATCCATAATTTATAAAAATAAATCTTTCTTTTAACATAAGAAGTAGTAAGATGCACTGTGCTTGCAAAAGTCATTATCCGGCCTTTATTTTCGCAACAGTTGTTTGTAGGGACATACTAGTTCCAATTAACGAATGTTTTCAATGATGTAAATATTCATATATAAACATTTTAAATTTAGAAATATCAATGTTATAAAAATTACAAAATTTAATCTGTATACCATTTCCCAGTTTATGTATTTATATTTCAGAAATTTTCATAATCACCTGTTAAAAAATTTTAATTTATGCATATTCCATTTCAAAATGGTGAATAATTGATGTCAGTTTTAACTTGCTTTGAAGGGTTGGTTAATAAATAAACTGGAATAATTAGAGAATTAATTTTTTCTCTTTAAATGCTACTGGTTGATATTCCTTTGTGGTTTACAAAGTGTATGTAACAATCTTTAATTTATAACTTTCTTGAAATTGGTAAGCTGACAGAATTTTTACAAGTAATTTATATGTTAGTATTCTCACAAAATTTTAGTGTTTCAGATCAATAGAAAAATATATTAAATTAGAAATATTTTTAATTTTTAATGTTACAAATTCGCCATGTACCAGTGCTAAATGCCAGTCTAGAACAGGGCTATTGTATAAAAGATTCTTACTATTATCATTTTAACTGTGAAATCTGGCTACCATTGAATCATAAAATTTGAGGGAGATCCCACCAAAGCTTCACCAGTGGCTTCGCCGGTATTTTGAAGGAACTGACGTCTCATTTTTTTAAATACAAAATCAGTATTCAACACAGTTTGTTTTTCCACTGCCTGAAAAGACCACCACCAATTTCTGCTCGGCCTACCAATTTTACGAAAAGCTTTGTTTAAAAAATCTGATGTGTATACGCCATGACTTCCTTGTATGAAATACTAAATTATATGCAATTTTCCCTGCATTTCGTTTAAACTTATTTCCTCAAATTTTATTAGAGATATATTTTTCATTCAATTAATTCAGTTCTCACTTCGTGACAAGGCAAAAATACATGAAACCTCAAAATATCATTATTAAAAATTGAAAAATATAAGACACGAATTCAAAGAACAATTTTTACAATTAAAATTAGAGTTTCTACACAAAAACAAGCAATTGGGCCACCGGGCAAGAAGGTAGATTTTTTGGTGCAAAAAGCTGAAACGTTTACTTTTAGTCTCACTCAGCAAAAAGACACTGAAGGTGTAGAAACTGACTTAATTTGTTTTCGATGCTATGCTGAGTCAATATATGGGAAATTTAATACCTTAAATGGTAATTCCAGAATGGATTAAATATCTGTTTCTTGTTCTGTTTTGTTGAGTATAGTTGACCATAGTGTCCATTAATATACATTTGGTTCATGGTAAATTTTTTGTAAATTTGAAAATAATCCACGTTTTCCATTCTGTAATAGGCAAGTCTCAAATTGTAATCATTTCTTTCAAAATGCAGTAGTAACAGTTAAGTTATATCCTTGTTCATAAAAACAAGCTGGCTTTCTGACAATCGATAAAGTTTATATCAGATGAAATGAAGTTATGAGTTTGGTGTTATTCATTTATCCATAATTAATGCTAAATTAATCCGCTTGGTGACAATTTCATGGCCGATGGCATAATACATGAGTACCTATATAATTTAGCAAATAAAATTTCCATTTTGAAAAAAATTACATTGATCAATACTTTTCATGGCAATCTGGATAAATGTTCATCACTGAATTTGATACTGCATTTTTAATTATGTGCAGTATTACGTACAATATTTCGCTCTTCAATTTGTGCAGTTACCCTGAATATGATTTGTAATTTCAAATTGAATGAATATGTATAAAGTTTGTAGGAACATAATAAAAAAGTTATTTTCATAATGTTTATAAAACTGTTTTCTTTTAAATTAAAAAATGAGAAAATGTAAAATCATTTGAATCAAGAAGAAAGGGCAATAATTTATCCTTTTTTCTTGACCTGCTTTTATCTTTACTTGGCTCATTTTGCATCATTTGAAATAGCTATGTAACTGGAAGTATAAGTCTGTGACCAATGGTTGCAAAAATACAGGGCTTGGTAAGGATTTTTAGGGACACCATACATAGCTTATTCTTATTTCTATTATATTAATGAACATGGAAAACTCATTTTAAATTTGTGCTTGATAGTCATAGAAATTGCACTATTCTTACGTGCGTATAGGTTCATAATAGATTGAATGCACATGGAACTGATGATAGCTTGATAAAATATATTTTTTCAAAAGAAAGACTTTACAGTTCTGGAACTTTTCACAGAAGCACTCTTACAGCTCTTCTTAGTATGATCTGCACAATCAGTAATTATCATTTCAAACAACTAAGAACATTAAACACGAAAGAATGCGTATCTTGCCTAGTGATCTCTCAGTACTCTTGAGCTAAACTAAGCTGATGCTCTCTCCGGTCTTGCATAGTTTGCAACTGGCTGCCGATAAATCTCCAGTACTTTCTCGAATTGTTGGAAGGCATATATAGTTACAGTTATGCAGGTATCAGACCAAAATATTGACCAATGGTTGCTAAGTTTGGTAACAAAATTGCCACCTAGCCATTGCCACCTTGGCACTATCTCACCAATTTACCGATATAGCCATTTAGTCAGCGTTAAATGAACCTGCACCTGTAATCTAGATTTTCTGGCTGAGCTTCACATTTTTAAGGCCTGTCATGTTACATATACTTAAATTAACCAATAACTTCACTAAAATTATTTACATATATACGGAATTCACAATATTGCCTCCTTCCAAAGGACTGCATGTTCGGAACGGTATAGTCCCTAACATAGGAAACCATAATTGCAACTAAAAATCAATGCAATAATAATTTCAATAAATAACATACAACAAATCAAATACTAAATCAGTAAAGAAATGCATGAATTTATTAACTCATTGAAACATGGTCTTAATATATACTATTTCATGTTATACGAGTACTGTCTACTGTGGGCATAGTAAGGAGCTAGCCTGTCATAATGAATAACTTTAAGCTTAGAATTTGATGACTATGGATCTGAGCTATAACTTTGTTCAACCTGTTTAGGACTTTGTATGGACCATCCCAGAGTGACTATAGTTTAGGAGCAAGTCCTTTCTGTCAAGTTAGATTCCATAACCATACCCTGATACCTTCATTGAATTGATGTCCTGTAGCTCTCATGCTGTAAAAAGTTCTGTTCTTCCTGGGACTCTGATTTTGCCTTGAGCTGTGACTTAGTACACGGATTTATCCATCTTTTTATTTGAAACAGAGTTATGTACTCAATGGCAGAATTCAGTTTATTTTCTTTTAAATTGTAATCCAAGTATGCAAGGGTCTGTAATATCTGCTGCATGTGATGCTAGGTGACACTTCAAACATAATGTTTGTTTACATTTTCATCAATGTCAATCTTATCTCCAGTCTAGAGCAGGGGTTCCCAACCCTGTGCCCATAGGAACTATGCCTGCTGATCGTTTAACATGTACCCGCCACTGTACGATCACAATAAAAGTGTTTTAGTTTTGAATAAAATTTTACATGAAAGTTTTCATATTTTTAATGAAAAAGAAATTGTGTCCAACACAGATATCAGCACAAAGCAAAATGCAAAATATTTCCTTTTTTTTATGTGCATGTATTTATTAACTCTATTTAACTATAAATTCATTTTGAAAAAGTAAATGGTAGTTGCTAACCCACAGATATTCTAGAATGTGCTCTTGGAGACAAAGAGGTTGGGGGCCCCTGGTCTAGAGGGTAATGCAGGGCTGCATCCGGGTAAGTTTACCTTGCAGTTGTTGAGCCACATATCTTTATAGCATCGTAACATTGGCTCCATTGTATCGATAGTCATATTGCAAGCAACTGCATTGATATATCCCATGATAATAAGTCCATTACTGCCATCACTTACTGCAGAAATGTGATATACTTTAAAATGGAGCTTATGAATATATGGTAGCCTCTGCCCTCTTCCATGGCCATTAATTAGTTTCCCTTCTCTTTCTTGGAAGCAGCTTTAGTTCCCATGTCTTGGGATATTCTGTAATTTTATTCAGCAGCTGATAGTTTTAAAGGTGGAACAGTTGCTCATCTTATTGTCTCCTGGTCTTCAGCACAGCAGCACTGGTTGCAGCTCTTTAGGGTCAGTTTGTAACCATTGGTATTTTGCCTCAATGAATTGACTTGACTGTTTAAAATGTCTAGACAAGAAGTCAGATGTACTAGTTTGTGGACATGAGCAGCTGTGATTGGGTGGTGAAGAAAAGAAGATAGAAAAAGAAAAAAATAAACAAAGAAGTCTTACATATTTTCCCAGGATTACTTTCCATCATATGTGAAAAGTTTCAGAGAGAACTGAAAATACAAAAGTAGGAAGTTAAAGGTGTCGGAATTGTGTCCAGCTGTCACTATGGATTTTGTCAAGCTGCTAACTTCATTGGCGACAGTGGCAGAAATTGTCATTGATTTGTTGTTTGACAACAGAAACTCTTCAATTTGTTGTTCGACAGCAGAAAATTCTCTTCAGTTGCTCTAGCTTTATTTTCAACCAAGTCTGTTCTTTCCACAGCCTCAAATGTGTTTTCTATTATGGCAATAATTTACCCTTTCTTCTTGACCTGCTTTAATCTTTACTTGGCCCATTTTCATTTCTTCTTTAAATACAGCAAAGACTGTCATCAGTTGTCTTAGTTACTCATCCATCACTCTTGTCACCACCATTCAGTCTCATTTTTGACACAAAAAATTTTTACATGCATAGTGGATTGAATGCACGCAGAACTGATGATAGCAAATTTATTTTCCCAAAAGAAACACTTTACAGTTCCCGAACTTTTCACAAAAGTACTCGTACAGCTGCTCTCAGTGCGACAGAGCGTAGTCAGTAGTTACCATTTTAAACTACTATGTTTAAATACAAGGCAATGCAAAAGCCTCAGCTCGTAAGCCTGCACTGTGATCTCTTAATACTCTCAATACTGTGTGCTAAACTCTGAACTAAACTAATGCTGTCTTTGGTGTTTAGTTCCCCCAGCCTCTGAGAAATTTCCAGTGTCTTCAGTTTCTCGAAATTACTTTAAGACGTACATGGTTATATTTATATAGGGCTGGATATAATTGCAGATATGCAGGGATTGGACCTAAATATCTGCAAGTTCATGATTTTTGGCTATTTCTCATGAAATTTGGCAGCAAAAATCAGTAGTCAAAACCTTTATCAGCTTACCGTTATCTTGCCAATTTGGCAAGATAGCCATTTACCTCATTTTTTCATTCATTCAGTCATTCACCAAACTCTTCATGTTTCATTATACTAGAGATACTCATATTTATGTATAATTTCATTAATTTTATTTACATAATACAAAATTTGTAACACTAGAGATGTCAGCTAACAAAACCATCTTTGTATAAATCTGCTTCATAGCTGTAGTTGCTGGTATATAGCCAATATGGAAAGAATTCTTAAATGTAAAATGTAAATTTATAGATCTTAAATGCTTAAAAATTGATATCATTGGGCAATCAAAACGAGCTGTGGTCGAGGCTTTTGTCTGACTTGAAAACATAGCCAGAAAGATGGGCATAATCAGTAATAAGACAAAACAAAATTTATATTTGCATCTAATAAAACTGTTGATTTATCTCCCTTGAAGATAAACAGTTATACCTTTGAAACCGTAAAACAATTTAAATATCTGGACACATTAATCGCTAGTTGCAATGATATAAAAATTGAAACAAAGAATGATATTTATGTCTAATAGATGTTGCTATGGCCTTAAAAAAACAACGTAAAACCAAACTAATCAATGTAAAATCTAAAATAAATTTAATTTAGATTTTAAGTTAGATAAGGCCTTAGAGATTACAATGAAGCCTATTGCCATTTACAGAAGTGAATGTTGGATACTTAACAGAGCAGAGAAAGACCCGATATCAACATTTGAAAGAAAAATCCTAAGAAAGATCTTTGGACCGGAGGTTACAAAAAAATGGGCAGTGTAGAAATTCATCTATTAATATAGAAGTATTATGGGAAGTATGGCACAAAATGATGATATTTGAGAATTATTAAAGGCACTCATATGCAGAGGTGGGCCCATGGGTTTTTCGATATGATGATGAATTCCAACCAAAAAAGATAACCTTTTCGAGAATTGAGGGAGTAAGTAAGATGAAAAGGAAGACCCACTCTCAGATGGATAGATTCGATGTCGAAGCAAGTTTAAGACCGTAATTGGGTGTTCGCCGATGGAAGGTTATTTGCACCAAAATGGGGTCAGGGTGGAGGAAACTTAGGAGGACAGGCTCGGCATGTGATGAAAGGCCTGTGGGAAGCTTATGAAGAAGAAGAATACTTAAAAAAGGTTTTTATCGGACATTCTTCTCACTACAATAATTGCGTACAGCAGTTAGTGAGGAAAGTTCGCAGCTTAGTTACGAGTGTAAGTTGTAAAATTAAGTTTCCTCTGACACTGTGGCAGAGGTTGGGTATGAAAGTCAAAAAATAGAAGCACTCTAAAGTTAGACAGTACCTTATTTGTCCACATAGGGTACAAAGTAACATTGAGACATTTGTCATAGCGTTGATAAGCTAAAATGCCTCCAGGGAAAAAAAATCAGGGCTCTGCATAGGGAAGAAGCGTGAACGGATATGGCAAAAGGGAGAAAAAGCAGGAAAACGCGCAAGGTCAACGATACACCATGGCATTGGGTAAGAGGTCGCTGCAAAACAAGCAGATGGCGTTGTTGCAGTTCCTGCGCAAAGTGGAGGGGAGATTAGCCTCTCATTTGAGGCCGTTAGGTTATGGAGCTCCCAGAAGGTGCATTTGAATCGTGGTCAAAGAGGGAACGTGAGAGCGGTTATCCGCTATGGAATGGGCATGTGGAGTATCAGGAACAGAAAAAGTCATAACCGCCTCGTGGAAAGTCTATGGCCAGGTGGATGTTGAAGAAATGCGTATGCGGGAGATGTGGGCCGCACATTAATGAGGACATCAGCAAGGGGAGGACATACCGAGAGCTGGAGGGACGCACATTGGTACACAGATGCCAAATGTTCGGAAGGTGGATGACATGATTAGAGCGAAATCAGCGGATACACAACGATGAAGTAGCGAAGAATTGGAATTCACTTGAGCGAGTCAAAACATCATCCCGGACTTTTTGATACAGAAAGTGTCAGCACGATGGGTTTGCCTGACAATTGACTCGACACAAAGGAACAATGATGGGGGTCAGGCCTGAACATCTTGTGCGTTACACGAAGATGGCAATGCTTCTGTTTGGGAGTGTGACAGGGATGAAACGAGGGTCCACCATTCATGCAGAAAGAAGCCCATTATGAGTGGAAACATCCTCATACCTGTCCGAAAGAAGTCAAGAAATTCCTCGGCAGGTAAAGTGTCTCACAGTCTGGATTCCAAGGAGTTGGCTGGACTTTGGAGGTTGGAACCATCAATGTACCGCTATTGTGACACCCTGTCGAAATTGAAAGAGGCAATTCGGAAAAAAGCGGCCTGCCCTTCTCACATCTGGCGTTCTGCAGTTGGATGACAATGCCAGGCACATTCGGCGACGGCAACGCAAAACATATTGCAACTCTTGGTTGGGAGCGCCTACACCATCTGCTACACTGATCTTCAACCAAGGGTTTTTTATGGCTTGGAAAAAAAATTCGGGGGAAGGCACTTTGGAAGCAATACTGAAGTGAAACAAGCCGTTCAAGCTTCTTCCATAGCAAAGCCCTGATTTTTCTGGAGGGCTTTTGAAGCTATCAAGCAATTGAAAAATGTCTCAATGTACTTGGTCCTATGTGGAAAAATAAGGTATGTATATCTTAAGCTCATTCTATTTTTTGACTTTCATACACAACTTTGACCACAGTCGACAGGGGAAACTTATTTTTCAACTTACCTATGTATTAAAATGTTTGGAATTTTATTCTGCTGATTATATTTTAAAATAAACTGCTATAGTTTTAAAAGACCACCCTTCTGTGTCCCAGTTTTGTTTTTCATAATAATATAACAATTCTTTCTTATTAATGTCATCATAATCATAATTTATTTGACATTCGTATATTTTCTTTGAAAAGTTTCAAAACTGTAGAAGATAAACAAGTGTGTAGCTATTGAAATCTCAGTGATTTGTTTGATTACTTTATCCAGTATAAAAAATTTTTTCTTCTGAATTTAGTATCTTTTTATTTTCTCCTGTATCAGTGATCCATTTAAACAGTGTGTTTTTTGTATGTAGCAAAAATATATTGTTATTTAGTAAAAGACAGTGTCATCTTTAATACTTTCAACTTGAAGCAGTATTAAAGTAACTATCTGATCAAAGATCTTAAGTATACTTTTTTAAAATGTTACACACACACGTATATATGTATGAAATAAAAGTAAGTAATATCCAAAGAAAGTGAGTCTTTCATATTTGAATGGTTCTATTAAAGGATTTAGGACTTGTTTAAAATTTAAAAGTTTGATCTATTATGAAGTCATTTCCTTTGCAACCTAAGCAATTTTTGTCTGAATGGCTTGCTTGTAATCATATTTGCAGAATTAATCAAAAAATACTGTAGCATACCCCCTTCCCTCCCCCACGTTCTTGCATTGCTGAACGTGCAAAAGCAATCTGAATTCTATAATTCTGCAGAGATTTTTGTTTATAGCTTTATTTTCTAATATCCTGAATAAGAATATTTATGCATATAATTTCCTAAATATGTATTGGAGGGTTTCATCAGATTGTCTATAATTTTTATTAGAGTAAAGCTAATGACCGTAGATAATTAGCTGAAACGCTTGACATTTTCAATATTAAAAAAAAACTTTTTTATTCTGTTTCAGAATCTTTCTGATCAGTTGAGACATCTCAGTTTGGATGATATTGAACGTATTGCAACCTTCCATTTGGACTCTGACAAAGACCAACATTCTCAGCCATGTGCCGCAGAACCCACCCCGATGCACAACTAGAATATTACACTAAACGATGGCGATTTGGCTATTAAAATTCCATTTTCCATTAGAATTATAGTCTGAAGTATGCTGCTGCTGATTTTTATGTACAAGACTGTTTCCTTTGTCTAGAAATCTAAGACTTTATATATATATGCCTTCTCAGAGTACCTTTTACTAAACTCATTATGTTAGGCGTGTGAAAAGTTTGGTATTCTTGTTCTTCAAAATACTATACTTAAGCTATCATTGTTCTAAGTTTTTGTATTTTTAATGGTGGGATAGTGTATTTATTGTCTGTGTTTGAAAAGAATATAATGATACCATTCAGTGCTAACTCTTTGTGTAATCATTTATAAATATTTTGTTTAAAGATTTTTCCCACCAGGAGAATTGTCTTGTTGCTGTCATTTTATATAGTTATTATTTGCTTGATTTAAAGTTGATTGATGAAGGCATTATAAATTGTTCTAAAGCAAAGTAATACAATGGTAAAAAGTTCTTTATTCTGTGCTTTTTAAAGTTGTATTCAAAATAATAACATTAACGAATGACAGTATTTGTGAAGTAAGTATGTACATATTTGTGTCCTTCAATCCCTGCTGTATTATACCTTAAATTCGTCAGCACATTAAAGATGTCTTAACTTAAATATGTATATGTATATTCTTCTGTTACTTATGCACCTGTCCTGCAGCTGAAAAAGAACACCAACTCAAATACAAATCAGCTTTATTAATTTTAAACAATATATACAATAGTACAGTTTACTGAATTTTTGATACATGCATTATAAAAAACTTGATGATAATGCTAAAATGCTTTAAATATTTAAATTAACTCGTCGACATCTGTAGCATGTTTGCATTTGGTATCTGGAAGGAAATTTTCAGAATTCTTGAAATATCTGAATAGCATTAGTTATCCCTTCTTCATAAATATAAATTTCTTTCTCATTTTTTAAAAATTCTCAAGTTTCTGAATCAAGCTTAGTGAATTTCGTATAGAGCATTACAATATTTTTTCACTGAAGGAAGGATAACATTATATATACAATTCTTGAAAACAGATAACTGCTTTTAAAAGTGGCTTTAAAATCATTATTATCCATATAATGACTGATGATAATGAATTTATTGTTCATTGTTTTCTGATTTTTTAACTTCATTGTCAAAACAGTTTATAAAAAACCAAGTTGAAGTGCATGACGTACAGGAATGTTAGCTACACTGCATACACCATCTTGTGATTAGCACTATTTACAAATGTAAAAACTTGAATGCTTATTTTTCATCACAGTTTCGCACTTAAAGTAAGGTACATTCTTGCAAAAAGTAATCTTTGGCTTTAAGTAAATAATTTCTTGGAAGTTTTTATTATACACTTTCTTTTTCATTCATTTGTAAATTTTCTGTTCTGTCAACTGCATTTTCTTTGTCCAGAACTGGTGTCACACCAACTCTAAGTCTCTGTAAGTAATTATGTGTAACATAAAAATAAGTATATCATCCATAAGGATTTTAATTTATATATATGAAAAAAACTGTGCATGTTATACAAGCTGAAAGACAAATTGGGAGTTATAAAAAGTCATAGGCGATCAAAATATTTGAGGATTCAATAAATTTAACATTTGAAAAGAAAAGAAAAAAAGTTTTTTCTAAGTAAATAAATCTCAAGTTTTTTAAAAAATTAATGCATCATACAATGTTTGCTTTCATAAATTATTAATCTAGGAATGCAAAAAGAATTATAAAGTTAGGACTTTAAAGGTAATTAGCGTTGATATGAACTTTAAGATGCAGAAATTTGGCATTTTTTAAAAATCAATTTATATTCAAAACATTGATTTTGGCTGTGAGTAATGCAATATTAATCAAATATTATAATTACAATTTAAAAATGCATTTATCTGTGTAATGGTAAATCTAAAAAAATAAAACTTGAATGTATAATAAAATTGGATTTCTTTATTAATCACTTTTATCATTTCACTAACATTTCCGAAGCAGCAGTACCATAATGTGTGTTAGATTTTTAGTTATACAAAATGTTATAATGTAATTATAAGAAATGTGCATATTTTTAAAGTGCTAAAGTTTCTTCATTGATAAAGTAGTGTGATTTATAATTTGAAAGATAAAAGATCTTGCATCGCAGGGCAACCACTGTCATTTATATTACATTTCAGATCGTATGAATGATTATGATAACTCGAATTTTTTTAGCATACCTTATCATTTTATTCATAGATCCATACTTTTCAAAATTTAACAAATTTTCTTACTATTATTAAAATTAGTTCATTTCAAAATAGTTGTTTATGGGAGTTATTTATATAAAAATGGGAATTAATGTATGGCTTCTACTCAAACGAAATATTGAATCAACATACTAAATAATGCATTTTAGAAATTTGTTTTCCTGAAAAGCAACGGCATATATGAAATGCAGAAAAAAATTCAGTACTCTTCCTGTTATCGGGACCAGATTTATATTGTGTGTATATACAGGTGCATCAAAAACATGCATACACATTTTAAGCTGTCATAGAAAATATACTTACAAGGTTAAATTTCTGGGAAAAGCAAGGAAAAATCCAGTTAAAAAAAAAAAAAAGCGTACTTTCTGTTCAAACTGTATGTTCTAAAGTAAATGTTCAAAATGGTAGCCTTTAACAATGATATATTTCTGAGTACGTGTCACAACTGATTCCGTTACATCGCACCGAAGTGTCCAATGGGATTTCTGCTCACACCACTTGAATCTCATCCAAAAGTGTATCAAGGTTACGACACTATACCTCATCTTTTACTGCATCCCATAAAAAAAAAATCGAGTGACCTGAGGTCTGGAGAGAGTGCAGAAAACTCGATTGGTCCCCTCAGTCTTATCTACTGGTCTGGTACATTAGCACTTGCACCACTATCATGCGACTGTTGCTTTGAAATATTTTGTGGTGAACATTGTAACACTTCCATCATTGGAATTGAGAATTCATCACATGTAACCTCGTGAGGTTGTCCTGATCGGCCGTATTGTACGTCACACATTGTTCCATGAACTTCAAATTTTTCTCGTAGACAAATAATTGTTAACCTTGGAGGTGGATCAGTCCTATACTCGTATCTCTATTGTCTTTGAACCACAGCAACATTCTCAAATTTCTGATACTACTTGTTAACATTTAGCCTTGTAAATGTTTCTGTGATAGTTCAAAGTGTGTATAAATTTTTGACGTACCCTTTGCATGCATATATATGTCCATCCATCCATGCATGCATACATGCATATATATATCCAGTCCTGACAAAAGAAGAGCACTAAAAATTCTTAATGTGTGTAACAGTTTTCTGCAAGAGAAATCTGGACAAATTCGGAACCATCTAAAACTGTTTTTCTAGTTACTAAATTTATTTGTTGTGAAACAATACAGGATGAAAATTAAGTTTAAATTTTATGGTTATGTTTCAGTGTTTGAACGAATTGCTCTCTCTTTTATACAAGACAGACTAAAGAATATGGTTTCTGACTGTGTGATGATTATTTTAGGAATGAAAAATCTGATGATGATCTTAATGATCTTTCGCAGTTGAAATAAGAGTCTACATAATTTGCATCACTGCCTTTTCTTCGCCATGAAGGTTCCAAAAATTAATTTTTTGCACTTTTAACACACCGATGCATACTCTTTTTTACTTGGGACAAGCACAGCATCCAGCATGTTTTATTTTGCATAATCTTGATCTGCTGAATGCATGCTTTATCTGCATACCATTTTTAGGCATATTGGAAAAAAAAAAGAAGTGAATAATGACATTGCATAAATTAATCATTAATGATTTTAAGAATGACAAAAATTTGCTTGAAAGCTGTGTGTAAAGTAAAACTTTTATTAATTGTAATGCTTACTGATTAATTATGAGTAATAATATTAGAATAGCTTTTCAAGATATGTGACCACTGCATCACAGTAAAGTGCTCAAGTGACATCACAAAACACTTTAATTTTCACCATTAAGCTGTTTTCCAAAGAATTATATTTGTTTCACAGTGTGGCCTGTTAGCCCTTAAGTATTACGAGAACATCCTGTTTACGAGTAGGCATGTAGGATGAGGCAAAAGTCTCCACACAAATATACAAGCTGTAAACATCTCTAAATGTGTTTAATATAGTTGCCCTGATGAATTCACATATCATCAGAGCAATTGCCAGATATTGACATCACAGCCAATAATATATAATATTGCCCAACATTTCATATATTTTAGCACATGTGTTAGGTATGTAAGAGATTTTTGTTCCACTCTGAATAAAATGCATTTTGGAAGCTCACATATTCATATTTTTATTCTTTGAAATATTAATTTCCTGTTCTTATATATTTATACAAGTCATTTTATTAGAAAAACTAGTATTAATAATAATATTTTAAAAATAATGTAAATTGCAAAATTAAGTAGCAAGCTATTCTTAGATATTTTAATGTTAAGTAGTATAAACAGTAAATTTGTTAATAATATGATTACCTGTTTGAATGTGCCTTCAGTGGTAATCAAGTAGTAAACTGCATAGCAAGGAATCCATACCATCGAACATAAAGCTATGCCCCAGCCCATCATTTGTCCCCACAAAGGATAAGTGTAGACTTTTGCATACACTAATGGTTTGTAATCAATTATTGAGAAAAGGAATATTCCCTGTAATAAAAAAAATATTAATTGCATTCACGAAAAATATCAAAAATGTCCTCCAGAGAAATAGGAAATCATTTGTTCACATGTTTATTGTTGCTTATTCAATATATTTTTTATTAAAGTTTTAAAAATACTGCTTCTTTTTGTATGAAAATTTAAATTCAAAATTTTTCTGTAGAAATTAAGTGATTAAAGATAGATTACAGTAATGAATTTAATACAGTCAAAAGTCTTTAATCTGGACTCGTCGGGACTTCGGCGATTCTGGATTATAGATCATCAATTAATTTTTTTTTTTTCTGTAAGCTGGCATGCAGAAATTATAAAATTAAAAATATAACGAATTTATGAAATAAGAGCAATTATGATAAAGGAATCAAAATAAAAAAAAAAAAAAAAAAAAAAAAAAAGCTTAATATTATGTTACTTTAATTAAACCATTCTATTCAACCAGAAAACTATTTGATGTGTGTTCATGATATTTATAATACGAGGAATTTGATTTAATCATACCAAAGAGGAGTACATTGAGATGAAATACTATATTTAGTAAGGAATTATAGCAATAAATAAAACATCTGCCTTGAAGATCAGGATAGTCCTGACAGATCAACTTCCAGTTCATTGCGCGCCACGACGTTCTACTGTACCTGTATTATAGTAATAGATAGATATTATAATAAGTAATTTTCTGAAGAAATATGTTAGAGTAATTTAGTGCTAAGCTTTTTGACAGTACTTTATTTATGGTGGGGAAAACTGGCTAAATGAAACATTACATGGTTTCCCTATCTTTAATTTAAATATGAAACAATTCCTTTATAACATTTTTCATTGTCTGTCATTTAAGGATAAGATATTTTGATACCCTAATCTCATTAGAAATGTTTAAGTGTAGTATAATAAATCAGTCTTAAGTTATAACTGAATGGTGACATACAAAATACGTGAATACGGATATTAATGAAGAGAACATAAGTTTAGTACTTACCATGGTTACAAAAGGAATAAGCACAGTCCATCCAATCTTTAAATACCAGCCTGGTTGGAATCCAAGCATTGCCTGAATATTCTTTGACAGTCGTCCAACACCTGAAACAATGCATATGTTTAAATTATATGTTTTTGATTTCAAATAAGTTTAAAACTTTTGGTTACATTATGCAGACTATTACACATTATATAAGAGAGTTTTATAAAATATACTAAGATCTCATTAATCCCTTGATTCATCAATAAAAATTCAAAAACATATTTTTTATTCTTTATTTTAACTCAGAACTGTAGCGGATGTATTCTGTCGTATTCATATCTGGAAAGAAAAAATCTTGAATGTATTTACTTGGGTGCATGCAATAATTTAGTTCAGTCTTTCGCAGTTAATTGAGTGCATTTAAGAGGTTAAATTATATTTCATTTACAACTGATTCAATATAATATCCATATTACCTAAAGAAAATGCACTGAATTTTTTACGATTACTTATATTAGGGTCATGTTGAAATCCCGAAAGGCTCTAAATATCCTGGTTTTCGTTTGTTTGATTCTGGTAACATAAATATCCAAATAAAGTGGAAAAGCCTTTAAGGGGACTTTCTATGGAAAACTGGTTCATATCCACATATCACACAGCAAAAAATGCCATGATGACAATCCATTCACTAGGATTTAAACCCTGATTGAACTAACAGTGTTAAGCAACTTTAGTAAACTTTAGATCAACCATTAGTAAATCATCTAAATCCTGAACCGTCACTCACTACAATTTGAATGAATTCAACTGTTGATAAATAGTTATTTATAATTTGAATGTATTGAAGAGAATATGAGTACATTTAGTGATTCGTTTAACTGAATATTTCCAATTTTCTAACTGGATAGTAATTTTTATTATCTATACATTGATATCAAAGTTAACTGGAATATAGAAGAAATAATTACATCAAGTATTCATTCTACAAATATATTTTAACAAAACACATTAGTTATTCATAGGTGTTCAAGAAAATTTTATTAGAATACAGCAATTAATAAACTAAAGGAGAAGTTTATTGTTCAGTTTTGATATAAATTCTTCATTAACTATTTTTTTTATTTCACAATAGACTCTAACAATGAATCTCCTTAATCGACAAATTTGGGTATTAATGAATAACATGATGATCCTGTTAGAAAATTATTTTTATTCTTCAGTATTAATCTGAATTTTAATATTTGGAAATTTTTGTTGGTAAAAAATCCCATATGTTATAAAGGATTAATTTTTTATCTAAATGTATTTGTTCTAATCCTTTTAGACATGAAATTGCGCATAAAATTTTTAAATAAATAAGTCAAAGTCAAGTGGTTAAAAAAAACTTCCTTTCTTGTCTAATAAGTGGCATCCTACTGAATGACCCCATTTAATGCTGTTCTGGCTGGTTTTGTAGAGTTTACACAAAATCAATACTAGAAATGTGTATTTCTAATATTGGCTCTAAGAAATAATTCTATGAGAAGAATTAAAATTTAGTTATACTCATTGGTTAGTTTATGTCCTTAATCTCTCAGGCAAACTAGAGATGAAATGCTAAAGTCATGAAATACTGGTACTTCTTCCTGAGCTGTATTTCTGGAGCTGAAAAAGCTCACTGCATGTTAATTTTGTGGAAAATGCATACCAGTTTCTGTCCCCATTGCCAGATGCTGTCACTTACTGTACATTAATTAACAAATGTAATTATGGTGTCAGTTATTGTACATTAATTAGCAGATGTAATTTTATCATTAATGTTTAGCTTCAGAAGGAAGTAAAAAGTCAAAATTAAATTACAGTCAAACCAGATTATGACTTTAAAGTTGTAGAACTCTAAAGGTGCTAACTATGATGCTTTTAAAGAAATTAATTATTATTCTGGTTGCTTAATTCAGTGCAGAGCACATCTAAAACTTTTTTACTGCTATCAAAACTAAAAGTTATTCTTAAACTCCAGAATTTGTTACACCTGAATTGACTGTACCATATGACAAATCATGAGGATTTTTTGCTGTTCTGTAGAGTGCACTCATGGCGATGTAGTGTATGTATGTTTGCCTTGATAATACTATGAAGAAAAAAAAAATTATTTTCTCTACTCTAAGAAATGTTCGGAGGTCACCACTGCTCTGCAATATTCCTAATTCAATTTTTTTCAATATTCTTAATTTAACAATATTCTGAAATTTAATTTTAATATAATTTTTTGCTATGTTTTTGCTAATTTTATAGTGTTTGAAGAATAAAATGACGTCTTCCATATACATGACAAACATTTATTTAAGCTATGAAGACGTTGAACAACAGAGTAGAAACATGTATTCGCGCACTTAGCACTCTCGCTTAACGTGACTCACATTGACGTGGTAACTACATAGAAAAGTATTACGCAGCAGAGAACTTGCTTATCATGCGCATGCGCTAGGGGAATCAATGGTGGTTGCCAACAGTGTTTCAGTGTTTTTGTTAATTTTTATTCCTAATTAAGAATCAAAAAACATTTTCAACAACTCTCTTGCATTGTAGTCTGATTTCTATGATCTTACTAAAATGCCAACTGTTAAATAAGTTTTTATCCATTTAAGTATTCACACAGTATTTTTTATATGTCACAGTTATATAGTTAATGAAATATTTCCGCTATAATTTATATCAGATCAGGAAAATTGTAACTTTCCAAGTAGAAAAGCTGAAACAAAATTGAATGGATTGGCAATTATCTTTTTCATCAAGTTTAATATATTTTTACAATTTAAAAATGAAATCATTAAAATAATTTTTAAAAACTATAAAAATTTATGACATTTTACTTCTTAATAGTTGAAATAAGCATGTAAATTCATGAAGTCATTTTTGAATAAAATTAAAATTTTCAGTGCTAAAATATAATATAAAACGTAAGCTATATTAATTTAATGAAAATAGTGAACATTATAAGAACAAATAAATGCACATATTATTTCTTACTTCCTAACAAAGATTAATGTTTATATATAATGAATGAATACAACTGGTCACTTACCATATACCCAGGCAATTGCAATAACTTGAAAGAACACTGTAAACAAAAGGGGTATACCACTAGCAGCATAAAAGTCCATTAACTGGAATATGTACATTCCACCCTAGATTTATAATAAAATACATTTTTTAGATGCATTCCAGTGTTAACTGATAAGCAACAGATATGTAAATATTTTTAGTGAATGTATTTAATGCTGATAAATTTCAAATATTAAATTTGAAAAGATAAATTTATACTGTAGCTTATAATTAACAGGTAAAAATATTGCTTCCCTGTATTCAAATATGATGATTGCCTTTACAGAAATACTTGTTTTGGAAGATGCTTCTTTTAGTATATATTAGAACTTTTCAAAATGTTTAATATTTATATAAAAAAATAAAAGTTTGAAAAATAAAGACCTACATACTTAAAATGTATTTCATGTTTTATGGGATATTTTTTATAATAATTAAAAAGAAATAATGTTTCCTATATCATATTTAGAATTTTTACACTTTTCTTTAGACCTGCACATATATATTATTTAATTGAATTGTTAGTTTAGTCAGTCTCAGGAAATAAAGGTTACTAATTAATACTAATAAAGTTATAAGCTGTTGAAAATCTTTTATATATATTTTTCAACTGGAATACAGGAAGCTCTTAATTCGAAGGGCCAAAAGAGGTATTTGTGTTAGTGTCATGCATAAAAATTCATAATCACCAAAATTGGCAAAGCCAGTAATAATTTCAGCATTATTTGAAAAAATTTTTATGTCTCACTAGTTGATACTGAACTGAATAATGATCATTGCTTACAACCTCACCAACACACAAAAAAATGTCATAAAAAAAAGCTTAAAGCAATTCATAAGAAACTACTAATTACACAACCACTTAACTACAATAGATTAGCAAATCTTTATGCTCTTCCAAAATTCCATAAATCATCACTCAAATTTAGATTTATAGCAAATGGTACAAATAATTAAAAAAAAGAACATAGATTACATATTTGCAATTAAACTTCAAAAAATCTGTATTTTAATTCATCAACTAGTTAACAAGCAGCACAACTATTGTTAGATTATTTATAATAATGTTCCAGTTCTCAACAAATTTAAAAGTTTTGAAATCAAGAACATTAAGTGCTATGACTTTGAAAACCTTTATACCATTGGGAAAAATTTATACTAGCAGGTGAAAGGAATTCCAATGGGAGTGAACAGTTCTACACAAATATGTCACCTATTTCTTTTTTCTAATAAATATAAATTCCAACTTAGTTTGAATTAGAATGAATTAAAGTTATTTGCAAATACATTCAGATACATTGATGATATTATAACTTTCAATAATAATTCTGCTTTTGAACAATTCAAATTTAACCAATAGTTTAACACTACTAGAATATACGATCACGTATATGAATACCTAGACGCTCATAATTAAACACAACAGCATTAAATAAGATAAAAGGAGGATTCCGTTTGAATATAAACTATAAATGGCACTCTAATTCTCTAAAAAAGTAGTAGGGAACCTTTATAGCCGAATATTAGAAAAAATATATGTAATGAAAGATTTAAAGAAGAATAAAAAACTAATTATGTTCAAGTTACTATCAGGTCCAAAACTTATTAAATTCTATATTAAAGGCGCATAAATTTCTTTTAATTTTTAACTCTTTATGGTATGATAATATTACCTTAAACCAACCTTTTTTTGAGGGAATGGAGATTTTGAAAGTTAGGATTACTTTAAATAGAGTTTGTAAAAATGTATATATATCAATATGGATTCTTTCCTTTTACTAATAAAGGGCCAATTCTTTTCAAAAGTCTCAATTATACAAAAAATTTCTTACAATAATTCTCTATTTCAATTCATAATTTTCTTTATTTTCCAATTCTAATTCAATTTAAATTTATTCAATTAAATTAAATTATTTGAATTTTTATTTGTTTTGCAAATTCTACTTTCACAACAGTAGCGGTGCATATTTTTTACTTTTTACACTTTTTTACAATGAGTCAAAGTTGGCAACATTTTTGCACACTTATAAGCATTTTACATTTTTGGAATTTACAACATAGGTTTTTACAATAGCTCTCACAGGTAGCAGCTTTACACTCAATATTGTACCAGAGATCTCTATTTTTACAGTTAGCAGTACAATCTACTCAACACAACTAGTTTAGCAAATGCTGGTACAGCTCAGAAATTCAGATATGTATGTAGGACTAGCCTTCTTATTATTTTTATTTTTATATTTAAATTGTTGTATATAGTTTATTTTAGGTTTACATGCATAATTCGTGTGAGGAGTTCTTAGGCAAAGTTTCTAATACTTGGGTTATAAAAAATTGGGTTCTTGCAATGAAATTCTTAATAATTTTAATTTAATTTTATTTGCTTTAGACAAATAAAACTATATTGTTTCTACGAATATAGAATATTTGTTAAATTTAAATGAAATTACAATATACAAGTTCCAATATTTAGTCTTGATTAAGCAATCTGGTGAAATAATATTGAAGAAAAGACTTAAAATGATACTAGTACATATTTTATTATGTACAGCATTTAAACTGAATTGGATTAAGAAACTGGAGAAAATGAACAATGATGTACTTGTATGATGTAGATTCAGTTTTCTAATAATAAATTCAATTTTTGCTCTCTGCTCGTTCTGAACAAACATGTTAATATTCTATTTTTATTGCTGGTAGGAATTCAGTCAAAATCCATCCAAACTCATTTATTTGAAAGCAGATCTCGCAGCAAATACATAAACATACATATATATACAAATATACATGTTATGGAAGAAAGTTATTTTAGGCATAAGGATGAAGCTAAATTTATGATGCATGTCTTTTGTAGCATCTCTGGTGTGTAGGTGGTTTGTTGAAAACTGAAAGATCAGTATTTAAGAGATTCACTAGATTTGTGTTCTTGACTGTTTTCCTGTATTTTATAATACAAATTGATGAGCAATCATTTACACTGCATTTTAATGTTTATGTTTATGTTTTTTTTTTTTTTTTAAATCTGAGCACACTAAAAGTTGTTTTAGATTTTAAGAATCATGTACACATGCTCAACAGATACAAGCATGTATGGATTAGCTGTTATTTTTATTTGTATGTTTAACTCTTTTGTCCCTCTATGCTGATAACGTTATAAGCTGCTTACAGTGAGGAATGAGGTCCCTAAAATATTAATTATTGAATTAGTCTATTTAAGTCATAAATAACATACCTCTGTTACCATCGGTAAGCCTAAAAGGCACAGAATAATGCATACGAAGAGAGAGAACAGCTTCCTTCTTGCCATGAGAAATTTGGGCCATTCGTCTACAATACTGGACACTAAGGCTTCGACAGTACAAAACTGAAATAAAATTAGGTGACATATAATTCTTTTCGTACCTTACACATTACTTAATAACATTTCTGTAAATTCAGTTCTTTTTTGTTAAGGCGATATTTGAAATTTACACATTATAGATTAAGCCAGTGGTATTCAAACTATGGGTGCGACCCTTTGATATTTGGACGGTATATTGGCCTGCATTAGTGTTCCCTACTCTTGCCAGTTATTGAAAGAGTTCCATTTGGGCTTGACCTGTGATGCAACCGTAAAGATTATCCTCTAAAAGAGATAAGCACCTGATGGGGAGAGAACAGACTGAATCGCTTTGCTTCTTGAAGACCAGGGAAGGGGGTTCTGGAGACTGGTCAGTGTCGATGCTAGTAGTCTCTCAGAATTCACGCATTTGCAAAAACACAATATCAAACTGAATAGTAAAAGCACAAGGGAATTCTGCCTTCGTATTGGTCATCCTGATTGTTCAGTGTAGTACGCAACAAATGACGGTGCGACCCTAAATGGATCGCGAAAATTTATAGTGGGATCGCAGAGTGGATAAAAATCATAAAAAATCGAAATTTATGATATATTACTCAGATTGGGGCCGCGATTTTATATATATATTTATTTATTCATTTTTGAGGTGTTTGCATTCTTATGGGGGCGCACTGGCATAAAGTCTGAATATCACTGGCTTAAGCTATTATGTTTGCCAATTTTAACAATTAAGCGCGATGGCCGCTTTGCAAGGAATGCGTTATGCTTTATGTCGTACTTTCTTGTGTTATTCAGAAAAACTGGGATAGGAATTTCACGTTAATTCCCTCTAAAACTGAATCTAAAATTCCCTTATAATTTTCACCACCTGAAAAAATTACTAAAATTTTAAATAGAATTTATAATTTCAAAGTGCTAACATTTGAAAAATGTTACTATTTTGAAATTACTTGACACCTTTTGCCTCTAGCATTACTCTTCATCAAAAATTGCTTTTTGTTCTCTGTTTAGATGTCTAGATGAGTGAAAACTGAAAGATCAGTATTTAAGCAGAGTTTTAGCAAGTTAAATTTTTTTTTGCGTCCATTGTGAGAAAAAGTGCTTACGTCGCGGGAAAAACCAGCTTTTTTGGGAGATATTGAAATCTGAATCATTTTAAACTTCTTTTTTAATGATGATGAATGATTAAATGATGAAGATTAAGCACCTGAACTATTTCGCAAAGATCAGTGCGCGAAGCTAAAGCTGAATCCACAGTGGTTCGAAAAGCGAAAATGCGAGAAGGACAAAATTTCTGCGAACATCAGTTCACACCGGAATAGAAAAGTTTGCTTTAAAAGCTGTCATCTGCGTATCCCAGACGCTGTATCGAAATGGGGAAAAAAAAAAAAAAAAAAAACCTACTCGTTTCTCGTTCTCGCTTTGATTTTCAAGCTATCAACGTCACTAAAGTGTTTCCGAAGATCGACAGTCTAACCGTCGCCTTCAACTTGGAAGTCCTTTGTGCTGAAGTGAATTCGTCCAAGGAACGCTTTGGTTTTTACGCCAATATCTGTTTGCAGTGTTTTCCACTTCCTCCGCCTTTACTTTTTTCGTTAAAATGGATCCAGTTTGATCTTATATGTATGCTTACGTGAATATTAAAGTTGATGTCATTTCAAGCACCTGAAATTTACCTAACTAAGATTGCATTACAATGAAGAAATCATAATTGTCAGTTCCATAGTGGAGGAAATAGGAAAAAGAAACATTAAATAATAAAATGCAAACAAATAAACAAGAATAAATATAAACACGGAATTTCAAAAGTACATATAAAAATAAAAATATGAATAAAATAATGAAATAAAATTAAAGATAGAAGAGTTTTTCCTCTCCTGCAGTTCCAGCATTCTCTGATCTTCTGATCAGAGAAATAGCTGTTTCATTTTATTCGAATCGGCACAAAACATATCCACCAGAAATGAATATAGCACCAGATATCTTATTTTTAATTTCAGTTTTCATAATGTCATCGCAATAGCAAGCTATAGATTTTACGATATTGCAATGCATACAGCAATCGTGCAACTAAGCTATATAAATATTCATTTTGACATTCGAGTTTTTAAGATACTTTCCTTTTGGTTTTGTTATGCAACATTTGGGCTTTCCTTACTGCAGTTTTTGAAAAATTTTTAATTGGTGAAGGACAAAATATTTCGCGAAAATTATTAAATACCAATTAAAACATATATGCCTTAACAGAGTATTAATGTTTTTACGAAGATATTTTTGTTGCCACACTCTATTAAGAGAATAAAAGAAACAAATCCGTATTTACCTGACTGTTTATTCCCAGCACTCCTAGCATCAGGAAAAACAATATAGCCCAAACTGGCGATAATGGCAGATGAACAACGACTTCAGGATACGTCAGAAAAGCCAATCCAGGACCTATTGAAATTTAACGTATTTTATTGCATTAGAAATTTAGCTATCTGAATCGTTTAATAAGCTTGAATTAACAACAAGCTTAATGTTACCTAGGTAATATTAAGCTTGTTATTAATTTTCTTGTTTTGAACCTTTTTCATCAATTTAAATAATAAGATAATACAATATGGTATATAAATTTAAGAAACTGTTAAGAACGGCATTGGGATTTATCTATACTATTCAGGAAATATGTAACGTTAATAGAAAGACATATAAATATTAATGAACAGACAACTATGCTCAAAAACTGGTATTCTTTTGTTATCGGGACCGGATTCAGAAATGTATATATGTGAACATATGTATGTGCGTATATGTGTATGAACATACATGCATACATATACACATACATCCATATGTACGTACACACATACATACATTTCTGAATCCGGTCCCGATAACAGTAGAGTACCCCAAAATCTCCCTTTTACTGCAATAAATTCACAAATCTGTAACAACGGGAAGAAAAATTAAAGGCGGTAAGCCACATGGAATGGTTCGACTTCTTAGAGCCAGGGCAATGAGCTGAGCAGCATAGATGATATGTTAAAGAAAGATATTATACCGCGTGGAATGGCAATGCACGCTGAACTGGCAACTCTCTATGCCACGTGGATGATAAACACCTTAATAGCTTAATATGATATAAAAAGAATGAACTATAATTATCTCAAAAGTTCATTACTTAATTTTGGCAAACGTGTGTTTTAAGCTGTATTTTACGAAAATAGTTTTATAAATTTGTTAAATGAAACAGATAATTGCAAATAAAAAAATTAATTAAATGAAATGAAAAGGGGGCAAGCCAATTTTTGAAAGTCCGGTTAGATTGCAGTTCACTTGATGAGGATAGTTGGAGGTTTCCAAAATTAGATTTCTTTTTCTTGAAACAAAACGCTAGCGTGCCGTTTACTCTCTTTCGCTTAATCTTCATGAAAATATCTCAGACGTCACAACACTAACGTCGTTAAAAATAACTACTAACTTAATTTGCCCAACTAAAAACGCTTCTGCCGAAATGTATGCTGCAACTACTAGGAGTACAAATTCTCAGTTACGGCACGCCTGTCTCGTAATATATAGCTTACAGCTAGTATAGTTTGTAACGCACCACTTGGCGACTTGTCAACCAGACGCTATGCATGATTTTGCGTGTGTACAGCATGGAGGTAGGAAAGGGCCTCCATGGTGTACAGAGGTGGTCATTACCTTGTCATTCAACATTTTGCGTTATCGCCCAATGCGTGATTCATAACAAAGGCTCACATCTTCTCACCTGAACTTCTGGAATCAATGTCTGGCAGTGCGTTCATTTATAGCATCCTCCCCAAGTACTTGACATATTCGATGACCTGATGCGTCTGCTGACAAGCCCATGATGGAGGGTTATGCATCAAAAACAATGAAAGAGTTGCTTAGATACTTCCATTTATCTTCGGCTTATCGGACAAGTTGTGATTGCTATGCGCCTAACATGTCTCTATTGTACAAGCTAATTGCACTCACCCATTTGTGAAAGCTAATTGCACTAATCCTCGATTGTTTTTTCGGGACGTTAATTGCTTCGTTTTCCCTCTGTGAGCGCTTCATCAAATGGAGCACCAAAAACGGCAAGTTTTTTTGGGTAATATTATATAACTTCATAGCGAAAACACGTCAGTTGTCTTTTGTAATATTTAAAAAAATAATACAGTAAATTTTAAAAAATGTGTAAAATTCTTTTTGGATGTCACTAATTAAAATTTTCGGGAACGATATAATTAAAAATAACTAAACATGTTACATTTTCGTTTCATTAAGTGAATAAAAGAAATTAAAAAAGTAAATTATACAAGTAGCAGAGTTTAGAAACATGAATTTCAAATCTCTATTTGCTGCTAAAACATGAAATTAATATTTACCGAAATTAAGTTTTATATGCCTCTTAAAACTGATATTCTTTTTTACGGGGGGCAATAATTTCAGTTATAAATTTCAAAAAAAGCTCTTGTAGGAGGAAGATCACTTTGATGAACTGAAACATTCTACATAGAAGCTAAAAAATTACAGTTTGATATACTTTTTCTCCAAAAATTATCACGTTATCAAGATCGTTGCAGCTAGTCAAGCAACTTATTTCAACATCTTCATTACCATAATTCACTAACAAGCTAAACTACATCTAAGTAAAATGTAAATGTTAGTTTCGGATCAATTGCTTCACTACATAATATTTAGTGACTAATGAAAATAACATTACGGATAAAAAATTTCAAGAGAATTTTGATAAAGGATATTTAGCCTAACAGTCTTTTTGAACCACCCAGCATAGGTATGAGACATAAGACAAAAATGTCTGATGTGAATACCACGTGACTTCCTTGTACGGCCTATTAAATTATGTATATTTTAATAGGCCGTACAAGGAATTTCATTAGAGATACATTTCTGATTCAGACAGTTCAGTTTTCACTTCGCGGCAGGGCCAAAATACATAAAAACTCAATTTTCGTTAAAAATTTTAATATACAGAAAAATCTAAAACATCAAATACGGTTAAAAACAGTTTAAAAAAAGCAATTTTTACGCTTAAAATTAGTTTCTACGCAAAACGAGCAATTCGGCCAGCAGACAGAAAGGAAAAATTTTCGGTGCACAAAATTGAAAATTTCTCGTCACACTGTGTAAAAAGACACTGAACATGGTGCACCAGCTGACTTAATTCACTGTTCTGCTTAGAATTTCAAATGTAACGGCCTTTTTAGGCTGATAATTTTACAACTAGTGCATGCAGATTAACTAAAGGCATAAAAACTTTGACCGGGACATAACAACAAAATAATTCAATCTTTTTTAAAGCAAAAAATACACAATTTGCTAATATATAAGAATAAAAAACTAAGCTCACCGAGCCGTGTAACTGAGTGGCAATATATTAATTTATTTATTTATATACGACTGGTGCGGCCGATTGTAATGAAGAAGCGAAGTGCGCAACTACATATTGTAGTAGTTGTAGCAGTCCAATATCAAAATTTCAACGTTCTACGGCTACTCGCTTTTGAGTTATGGGAGATATATACATAGGGAGAAACGTCACGAATAAGTCTCTATTGAACCCATTTTAAAAAAGAGAAACGTCACGAATAAGTCTCTATTAAACCCATTAAAAAAAAAAAAAAAAAAAGAGAGAGAGAGAGAGAGAGAGGGGAAAAAGAGTTCTTTATTCCGTCCATACAGATGTCACGTAAAAATACCGTGCAAATGGATTATAGAGTGGTCAAAATGGATATGTTTGTTTAAATGTGATTCCCGAAATTTTTCGCAAATACAAAACTTCCTTTATTTTGCAAGGAAGTAAAAAAAAGGCCTGTGGAAAGAAAAATACAGCTAAAATTGAATAAGTAAATGTGACGGTTGTACAGACATTTGGTATTTTTGGAAGCAGGCAAGATGACAAATTAACGAAGCCTTCGCCGGGAATCGAACCACGGATCTCTGGAATACCGGCCCAGTGTGCAGAACCACTACACCACGAAGGCACGCTAGGAAAGCGGGAGAAATACCTTATATACTCCCCCTTTTAAAGGGCGACCTGGGGATTTTAGGGCACCCAATCGCCAAATCCTGGATGAGAATCATCATCCAACACCCTTTTATTTCGGGCGGCACTGTAGAGACATTAGGGTTTTTTGGAAGCCGGAGAGATGAAAACGTAACAAAGCCTTCGCCGGGAATGGAATACCGGCCCAGCGTGCAGAACCACTACATCATGAAGGCATGCTAGGAAGGCGGGAGAAATATCTTATACGGTAAAAGAATAAAAATCACTAAAGTTAAATATCTGTTTCTGATGCTAATAATGTTAAGATTCATGTACAATTTTACTCAGAATCAATATAGCTTTTTTTTTTGCAATCTTAGGTATATACTATACATTAAAATTGACAACGGTGTATGATTCAGGAGGAAAACAATATAGGCCTTCGGTCAAACTAAAATAATTATTAAAAAAATGTGCAATCGGTATTCCAGAACATCGACCTTGTCATACGATATTTGTATCCATGATCTGAAAAGTTTCCAGTCTCTTTCAAATTACATAATTAGAATGAGCGAAAGCACGAAAGACAATTTTTCAATATTTTATATTAGCTTTTTTTGCAATCTTAGGTATATACTATACATTAAAATTGACAACTGTATTCAGGAGGGAAAAAATATAGGCCTTCGGTCAAACTAAAATAATTATTAAAAAAATGTGCAATCGGTATTCCAGAACATCGACCTTGTCATACGATATTTGTATCCATGATCTGAAAAGATTCCAGTCTCTTTCATATTACATAATTAGAATGAGCGAAAGCACGAAAGACAATTTTTCAATATTTTATAATCGCTTAGATTTCCTCAAAGAGAGAGACAGCTGCTAGCAAAATGACGTCAAACGGAAATCATACATTTTGACAACTAGCTCAAATAAAGAGGTTATATTACGTCAGACATAGATGAGCAGAGGAACTTGCAATTTCAAGCATAACTGACCTTAATTTAATTTTATTTGAAAAGTGCATAAATAGAAAATGTAAGTGAAAAATGTCTGAATTAATATCCTGAGTATAATCGCAGCACACTCGCTGTTTCGCTTGAAAACATTCACTCATTCGGCATGAAACAGGTTCGCTGACATTTTCTCAGTTCGCTGACACTCGTTTCATTAAACGTTATATATTCAAATAATTATCGCAATGTTATGATGTTATGTTATAATATCTATTTGCGTCATATGGAAAGTAAAATTAGAATTTTTGGCAGAATTATTTATTTAATGGATTAATATTAATATTAACTGAATATGCTTTGTGAAAATGGCTGTAAGAGAAAAGAAAGTAATCCTATTTAAAAATCGTTAATATTTAAAGTAGCAATTTATAAACTTTAAAACTATAGAAAAAGTGCCAATTTCCAAAACAAGTAAC